AGCAACTGGGAAATCGTGGAACGAAATAAAACCTATCGCAAACAAACAGACAAGATGGAAATGCATAACTAAGGAACTACGCTCCACAAGGAGATAAAGGAATCAAGAAAAAGAAGAAGACACGTAATATCAAAACTAGCAGAAATCATGTAGATGAATATTATTACGAATAATCAAATACAAGAAATATTTCCAAGACCACTGAAAATGGATATTTGGCAATATTCGAAACAGCTGTATGGTAAGTCAAAAACTCAATTAATTAAAATAATATAAAAATAATTTTTGTTGTTCTTGCTCACTACTGTTCGAAAATTCTCTATTTCTGCTTATATTACAACAATTTTAAATATAAAGCTTATTGGAACTAGCATATGCTCGGGACCCCTAAACCATATGTCTTTGATAACTAATCTTATTAATTTTATTTAGGCAACCATTATCTGCACAGTTCTTGACAGTAAAATTATTATGTATTCAATCGCTTTTCTATGCCCACATCCTCCTAACCTCTGCAGAAGTTCGTACTGGGAACTTAAAGAATGACCAGTAATATTGGACATAACATTACTTCTTATTAAATATAGAGAAGCGTTTATGCCATTATATTGGTGTCTGGCATATTTGCTTCAACTGTCAGTCACTCTAACACCTTTCTCAGTTGTTTTGTGTCTAATAATAAGCTTCAAAAAACAGAGACTGTAATTTTTGTGAGGCTTACAAGCTCAGCACCTATAAAATATCACGATACCAAATTAATTCAACTTTCAACTTTTATGAAGTCATTCAAAAGTAAATGCTACACCCTATATCTCCTGATCTTTGCTCTGCACTATTGACTGATTTAGGAGTAGTTTGATTATATACGATTATAACGATGTGTATATTATATAAATATACACATCGTTATATTATATAAATATACACATCGTATAGTCTCACTTTATGTACAATAACGAAGAAGATACACACTGAGCTGAGCCATCTTAAGAGAAGAACTGTATCAAGTCGAAAACCGGTAACTAGTGTTTATAAACAGCTAACTAACACGACACTATTGATATATTGTATATTGAATTGAAATCTAAGGTGATTTATTTTCAGAACCTAATTTTTTTGTGTTTCTAACTTAGCGGACAAAAGTTAGACTTTTCTATATACTCACTCCTCTTATGAAATTATGTTTCATAACAGATATAATTAGCATTATACACTAATTAACAGTTATACCAATTATATCTAGATCTCTCGATAACATGGAACTTTTACCGTTTGAGTAGTCTATAAGGCGTGGAAAAATTCAAACGATTTAAAAAAATTCAATCAAGTTAAGAACTCTATTTATAGGTAAATGTAAATAAGTTTCTATATCTTCAATTTATAATACTTAATATGTAAATAGCTACGACTAATCGCATCGTAGGTGATAAGCTACACTACTAAGCTGATACAAGCCTACAGATGAATAAAAAAAATTGTTGTTGTTTATAGAAGATTTTATAGATTTTAAAGAAAAAAAACTTATTAATATCGCAATAATATAATATTTCAATTTATCATCTTCTTAACTTTATATGCAAAACGTTACCGCCTTCTGATCACGATCCATAACGAATATGCTTGATGATTAAATAATTTTTTATAGTTTAGAAATTTTTTATTCATAAATTATTTAAGTTAATCGTTGACTATAAACACTTGAAAAGATTTTAATTGAGCTTTACATGCTCAAGTTCTCACGTCAAATTGGATGGAAGCTTGGTAAATAAAGTCAGGTTCTCACATTGCTGGATCTTATGGTAAAGCGCGGAAAACGTAAACTATTTATTTACTTTAAAACCCAAAATATTTTTGTTTTTTTTATTTTCTTTTACTACAAATCGTGATAAAAATAAATAACAAAAAAAAACCTAATTATTGCTATTAAAATCGCAAATAACCATTATAAAAACAAATTAATCGCTCTAACGAATGGGTTGAGAACTTGTATTATATCTAAATTAGTGCAGATTTTTTTAAATATATAAATTTCATAAAAATTAATTCAATAAACATCAAATATGAATTTTGTATACAATTTGCCACACTCTTTTCATTTTCATAAATCCTACAAAATTGGTATATTCAAATTCATTCATTTATTTTAAACTCCACAACTCCATAGATCATGACCGATTCAGCTATTACTTTTCATTCCTTAATGGGAAGTTGTTCTTAATTAAGAATATTTCTTTAAATTTATGATACTCTTTCGCCTTTCGTATTTAGTTCTAGAGAAACATTTCTTCCATGCATTATTTTGTTACGTTTATATAAACCCATTAAACCCAGGCAATTTCAGAGCTAAAATTTTATGGTGAAATTTCTATAGTAAATGATAAAATAAAACATGTTTAAGTAAATGAGAAAAGTTTAATATTTATTTGAGAGATTATTCTCACGTTCTTTTTTACTAAAAAATGTAAAATATTCTTTAAATATTAAAAAATATTCTAAACTAGCCATGTGGTGTACCACACTGTGGTCCGAAATGGGTTAATAGATTAGAAAATCAAATTCAACGAGATACCTTGTAGAAATATCAGTCTTGCAGTTGGTTTACTTACAGGTCATTGTATTTTAGGTAAGCATACTAGGAGACTAAATCTCCCTTTCAACCATATCTGCCGCATTTGTGATAACAACGATGAAAATGCCTTCCACTTGTTTTACTTCTGTCCGACCCATGCGATGTGTCACCTTAATACTTTAGCGGCTTTTTTTTCGAGAATCTTGGCGTACTGCAAGACCTCTCTCTGAATAGCGTCATAGGGTTTACCAAAGGTTTAAAATGGTATTAACTTTTGGGTTTTGTTTAATAATACGATAGCACAATGGCCTTACAAGCCTAAGTAGATCCCTTCCGATCGCCGGTATAACCTAAACTAACCTATATTAATAGCTTATGCTGCAGACGTTTTTTTTTTTTCAACATACGAGTATTATAAAATTCTAAATTCTATAATCTAACAAACTCGTTTTATATAACGTTAACTAAAGAATAAAAGCTTATTGTTTTTACAAAAACATGAGGAACATGAGATAATCTGATAGCAAATCAATCTCATAACTATTAGTACAAAGTAAGATATGCAATCCAAAAAATAGGATTATAAGACTCATAAATTTCAATTCAAATCAAAAATTTGGTAATATGAACTATTAATAGCTTTAAACCCCAATTTAGTTAGCGTCTTTCTTTGGTTCAAAATTTGAAAATCTAATAAAGAACTAAAGATGAGATGAAGTGAAATATAAAGTAGTTAAACTAGTAATAACACTTAATTAGTAGAAATTGGCGTATAAACACCACAATTATCAGGTATACCTGTTTATCAATATCAATAATCAATTGACACTTTTTCATGACGTTTTAATATAGTAAGAGACTCTCTAAGTGATAATGTTTAGAAGAAAGATTGCTAAATAAAATGAACAGTGAGTAACTACATCAGTGGTGCATTTTAATAAATACTTCGTAGTACTATAGACTTGCTGATAAACTAATACTCACTGAAACAGAATAATGAAACAGTTTCTCCCAACCGGAGCCAACTTCTCTCAGCAGAAAAGAAATACTCTCAACAGAAAAGAAATTCTTAGGTTGATATTTTTTTGTCGAATGTTAAGCTTTTTATAACGAAAAGAAACTAGAAGGGTTCAAAAAGTAATAAGGAAACAACAACAATAATTCGATTAATTTATTGAAATTTGACTGTTTAGAGTATGGTCAAGTACTCATTATCAGTGATCTTAGGAAGTATTCGAATTTCTTAATTAGTTTATAGTCCATATATAATTTGTTTAGACTGCCTATCAAATCAGAAACGAATTCCTCTCAACAGAAAATAATTTCTCTCAGCCGGAATACCTTCTATTAGAATATAACCGTAAGTATGCAACGAAATCGACTCTGAGCCAAAAAAACAACAGGCTATATTCTATCAATACTTTAGATAAATTATCTATATTTAGCTATTAATTTTAGAATTTATTATAGTTTTTCAAAATCTGCTAAAGTTTTATTTACTTGTGTTATTATGGTTTTTTATATATTTTTAATCTGGCTGTAGGTCCCTTATTTTTAAATAATTAAACGTTTAATATTTTTTATTATACTCTATATTTCGACTCTCCTTGAGAGTTATCTTCAGGATTACGATACGTCCTCCTCTTTGTGTACTGAGTACAATATAAACGATAGAACAAAGAGGGGGACGTATCGCAACCCTGATGATGACTCTCAAAGAAATTCAAAATATGGACTATAATAAAAAATATTAAACGTTTAATTATTTAAAAAGAAAGGACCTAGAGCCAGATTAAAAATATATAAAAAAAATTATTCTAATAAACACATCGAAAAATAAATTTAAAAAATTTTATATTTATATTATTTTTTAATATACAGACTATAAGTCTGTGTGAATGCATTAACAAATTTACAAAATCAGACATACCACTAATTTCGTTTTCCATTTTTGAAAAATAGGTTCGATCTCCACAATGCCTACATTCCAAGAACTTTACTATATCTATAAGGAACTTCTATATTCAATGCGCTACAGAAGTGGAACACAAAAAGCGTGTAGGTGACACTGGTTGCTGATTTTATGTATTATCTCTTTACACAAATACAGCTTAGATAACGTTGAAAGTCTGTCTTTCTATTTTTTATACTCATTCCTTTAAAAGTATTTAAACTATCACAAAATAATGTATATATTAATTAAATAAATAACTTTTACAATAATTTACAATATATTTATAATAGCTATTCCTGCGGATTGCTTTGAGTTCTAAAATTTTGAAATCTACATTAGTGAGTCAACAGTAGGGAACTCATTATATATGGTACAGTATATGGTATAAAGTGTATACATATATATTAACAACTTTAAGTGAAATTTATTTTTGCAAACATTTTTAATAAAATTTAAAAGACAATATCATTCAAATTAATAATACAATAATTTTATTATAAACATTTTATTATTCTTCACATATAACAGAGAAAATATATATATAAGATAATAACTTTCCAAAGACGTTTATAACAATTAACATAAAGTAAATTTGTATAAAAGACACGTGAAAAATATATGTATGTATGTATGTTTGTATGTATGTATAACTTTACATTTTTTTTCTTGAAAGCGTATCTGAATGAACTCTTTATCCGACATACTTGTTTATAAACGTTTTACATAAATTACAATATCAGCAATTATCTAAGATCTAAATACCTTTCGTGCTACAAGATTAAAATAAGAAAACATTTTTTTAAAAATGCGGTGGCTTGTATCCGTATTATGACAACACCCAAATATCTATATTATTTGTCCTTTTTAATATAATTAACAATATTATTATCATAATGATCATCGTTACTAAATACCAGTTAACAGTACTACAATACTGTGTTTTTTTTACAAATTTTATTTTATAAATAAAGGAATTTTTAATTCTTAAAGAAAAGGAGTACTTAAAACAAAATTAAAGCTTTGATTTCACTTGTGGTATTATAATATCTTTCCACCATGAGGGTCTTTCAAATGCGCCCTGATTGGTCATAAATTCGTTTTGTAAATTCTCATACAAAAGTCCGTCAGATTTGGCTATAACCGAATCTAAAGCAAAGTCTGGTGGGGCCAATGCATCTGCCACCGAAACTGCCGAGTCCTTGAGTTCTGCACATTTTTGTAATAGACGTGCACGCACATCTTCGGCGAAATTAGAATTCGTCGCAAAACCACCAACATAAAATATAGTCAAATGTCGATCAAGACACCACATAGCATATACACCAAAAAGTAATTCCATAACATTTGCTAATGTACCGACAACATCAGAACGTTGGACACGTTTAACGTATTTACATAAAGCAAAATATTCCGCATAGGCCAGCGAAAGCTCACGTGCACCATACACTTGGGAATTGTTTCGTGCCTCAAAACGATGTACACCGTTATTGACACTAAGCGCCACACGTTTTGTGGTTGTATCCAATAAATAGCAGAGCATCCATTCGTAACAACGTAGAACAACTAAAAAAAAACAATTCAAAAATAATAATTTTTCAAGCATTTAGAGATATATTATAATAAACTTACATTCATAAGAATCTATAGGACACATTTTTAGTACATTCCCGTAATTATAACCTAAAATTTCGACACGGTTAATAATAAAACGCTCTGTACAACCCACACTGGACTCGCTCCATTGACGTAACAACCAATTTGATGCTTGCTGTCCCAATACATTATTGTCACCTTCGTAAGTGCAACTTGGATCGTGGTCGTTACGCAAATCACCCAACTTTGAAGCTTTTAAGTAACCATGACCGCCACAAGCCTCACGTGCTTCTTGCAAAGCGTCTCGCGCTGTCCAAGTTATCAATGGCTTAAGGGAAGAAATCACAGCATGTATTTCCGACACCAGCTGAGTCTACAATTTAATTCAAGAATTATTTAAAATTTGATTACTGAATTAAATAATGAACTAAAGTAAGATGCGATATTCAAGCTATAGTAAATATGGGAAGAACGAGATACTACATTTCTTTCAAAATTAATCATTTAAAACTAGAAATTAGAAATATTTTATAAATGTTTATAAATGTAAATAATTTATAATTATAATTAAGAAAAAAAACAGACATTCCATTGATTCATTCGCCCATGATTCTTATGACGCTTTTACAGCATTCTCAGATAACCTACCGTTATATTATTTTGGCGTAAATAATTCACAAGAGCAAAACAATATAACCTAGAACCATTTATTTTCTACGTCACTTATATATAGCTAAGATCTATATATGTACGAACTATATATGTATTTATATCTAAAAAGACAAAACCATTGTATCTACTCAGAGCTTGACAATGGTACCTTTTATCTTCCTTTGCTAAATATTCTTAAGTCAACCTGAGTTAAATCTACTATTTGTGTCTTTATATACCTCATAAAAATAGCAAACTGCAACCCGAAGATTAAAGAATTGTCAGTAAAATGAAAGTAATTATAACTGAACATAAAAACGTCTTCCTTGCACAACAAGAACTAACCTCACCCAACTGGGATCTGTATATAGGCACGTTCTAACCAATTACGTGTAAACTCATAAATATTCTACCAAATTATATGGCCCAAATGCAGGTCTATTGCTCATAAAATAATTCACCTATTTTCATATCCAAATGAACACATAAATTTCAGACCTCTTGATTTATGGCTCCGCCCCGTTTAAGTACCAAATCCCTTTATATGAACCCACGATAGGCTCGACTCTACGGTTTGTATTTGACAGGGTTCAATACTTGATACTTACAGTCCAAAAATTATATACGGGCATCTAAATCAATAGATGTGTTCAAAGATTATTGTAATGATAGATATTTAAAGGTATATTTGGCAGCTATATGGGCAAGTCAAAAATTCAATTGATCAAAAATGAAATTTCGGGACTTAAATATTTCTTTACTATTATCACCTTAATAAGTATTTAATATTAACTCTTGACTCTTGAAATCTGTATTTCATTTCTCTATCCTCTTCAATGGTCGGTCAGGTCGCACATTTGGGAGAGTGTTTGCTATCTTCGAGTAAACCATAATTAAACACTTAAAAACTGATTTTATCTACGAATTTGATGAAAGTTAACCTGGATGTCAGGCATTGATTAACATTCAATTGTCGTTGGTAGTAAATTTGTGAAAAAAAGACTGTCCGAGCATTAATAATTGCGTGTTTCAATACTTATTGTTAGAATAAGCATAGTATGCAATAAAATTATACTAAACCAAATAACTAATCCAATAAATAAAAGTTTCAAATAATACTAAACAAATATTAAAATATATCATTCCTAAACAACTATATAAGTAATATAAAAGTAGTTGAATAACAATACATGACTTCCAAGACAATATCGTATACATTCCTATAATATTCCTAAACATTCCTAAAGAAAACAATGCATTTTTCGCAGATTATGACCTACACAGGTTAAAGAAAACGAGTCATTCCACAAGCAGTTTAAAATACATAAAAGAGCTACTAAAATAGGTGTAGCATATTATACAAGAGAGAATTGTACGAAACATTTTAACAGAATTTTGACGTAAAGAAATGTACGTTCCTACATCTCTGGTTTCAAACAAGATTCTAAAAATTTGTTTTGCTAACAAACTATTTGCATTGATCTAACGAATTGATGAAAGTCTTGAAGATGTAGATTTCACTTATTATGTTTTTTTCTCCTCCAACATTAGCTATCTACAACTCCAATCTAGTATAGTTTTTTTGAAAATACGGAATAATAAAAATTTAGAGTATACGGAATAACGAAGGTTTTAGAGTTACGTTCGTGACATAAAATTTTATAAAAATTTACATACCTAGTCAATAGTGAATATTCTTTATTAATAGTGTTGTTAAAAAGCAATTATAAGTCATAGACTTAAACTGATTTAAATTAGTCCTACTGTATTAACTCTAAATATGTCCAATACTAAATTGCATAACACAAAACTTATAATTGTAATATGCTCAAAAAAAAATAATATGGCCCAATACGATGGACCAGGAACTAAAGAGATGAATACATAAGTTAGTTCACTACAATTAATAGAAAGAAAAATGAGAGTTTAAAGACACTTTTCTGTGAATAACAACGTATTCCACATTTAGCAAGAACTGTTTTTGCCCCTTTGAATTTAGTTATATTCTAAACTCAATTGGAGTAACTCGTGCTAAACACATGAAATCACACATCTGTGATTTATTTTCATTTCTAAATATATACACAAGAACGAGTCTTTTCTGGTTTATGGGTCCGCCTAAATAAAATAGCAAGATTTCGCTACCTAAACCCATGTTGGACTCAAGAACTTATACTATATCGAACTTGCGAAAGTGTGGCTACCACAACGACATGGGAAAGGCGTTACTTTGACTAGCATGCACCTCATTTTTTCTTAGAAAGTTAATAACACTAAAAGCTTAATTACCAATGTTTCAAATCCATTTGAATCCGCTTGTGTTTGTTCTATGATCCGTAAATAAGTGTTTGTCAACTCTACTACAGCTACTTTAAGCACACAGGATGCAGCTAAATATGGAAATATTCTCCATTGCTTTAAAAAAAATTAAACCAAATTATTTCAAATTTATATATAATAAAACTCAACTACTTACATGCAATTGGTATTCAATTATAGGCAGTTCTGGGCCATTTCTCTCCGGTCCAAATTGCTTACGTAATGCTGCGTAACGCACTGATATAACAGCAGCATTTGATAATGTATTAACAGATTCCTGCATTATACCAATACGTCCAGCTGAAAAAGATTCTAATGCCGCTCCCAAAACTTTGCCAGGCTCACTAAATACACTTTCGTAAACGCCTTCTGGCGTCACATCACCCGTGCGATTCAGAAGATTCTCACGTGGTATACGATAATTTGTAAACATTACAAAACCATTATCAATACCATTTAAACCAACTTTTTCTCCAATATCACCAACTAACACACCAGGATATGATATTAGAGTTTTTGGATCACGTATAGGTATCAGGAAACCGTGTAGACCATGATTAACTCCATCCGCTGTATAAAGATTCGCGAAAGCCATTGCAATTGTTGCAGTCTTTCCCAGATTGCCGACCCAACATTTTGCAGCTTCAAAATCGGGTGAATTTATAATAAATTCTTGTGTTTTTGGATCGTAAACAGCCGTTGTACGTATACTCTTTGTATTACTACCATGTGACATTTCAGTTATGGCCAAACATGTCACTAGTTCACGATTCCAAGCAGCCTCATAATATTTCATATGACGTTCTGTGCCCATAGCGCGTATTGCATTATTAAATAAGCCTACGCCAAGAGCAATTTTCACCGATAGACTCGGACAGTACGAGTGTAGTGCCTCATTAATGCCCATTAAATATTTGGTTTTCTCACCAAAGGAACGCTGTTCAAACTCCTTAGGAACTAAATTAAGATGTGCCATACGGTTCATTTGCATAGCACAAATATATTTCTGTTCATCGGTGGTTCGCGTTGTTTTTAATTTCGCAAATAATGGATCATTCTCCAAAGTTTTCCAAACTTTATACTACAAAAAATTATAGAAATATTTATTTCCTTGTCATATTTTAGCAATATTTATATAAAAATACTCACCTTAATTCTAAGTGTTTGTTCCTCTTCAAACATAAGTCTTAAACTCTTCCAATCGAAAGGAGCGCGTTTGCGATAAGCACATAGCGGACCCTTTGGCAGGTCTGGTATAAACGATGTATTTGAAATTTCCTTCATTTTTTATAATTACCTGCAAAAATGTAGTGAAAATTATTACAAATATGTTTACCATAAAACACTACAACAACTCTCTATTGTTGCAAATGGTCTAAAATATTGTAATAACTTAAATAATATAATTAACCATTATTAATATAAGTGATATGTAGATAAGTAGAATAAAGAAAACCCCTGGGCTTCGTAAAGTGTGGAGCTCTAATACCTATAGTTTACGCACATAGATAAAAATCTTTACAGCATGCGTTCTTTCAGTTCTCCTTAGTTCAGTTCTCTTACGAAAAACATACAAAACAAACTGAGCGTATTTATCAAATGCTGTCTCTTCAAAACTTTGCGTATTTTCTGGCCAAACAGAATACCAAATCAAGACCTTTGGACCAGAACAAATGTAACAGCTGTCAACCTTGAAGTTCGCAAAAGAAACTTTGAATGGATCGGGCACACACTTTGAAAGGCACCTACCGAAATCTGTCAGCAGGGGTTGGTATACAACCCGCAAGCTTGCAAAGGAAGTGAAGGTCAACGTTAAATGAAGTAAATACCGTTTTACAGCCCCTAGGAAGAAGAATAAGCAACATTACTGTTATGAAGGACGTAGTGTGATTGCGCGAAAGGTATAAGCGTCTTATAGACAACCTATGCCTAGTATAAAAGGTTGCTCGAAATCACTGGCTTCGAGCAAGCCTTATTATTCTTATTATTTATATATTGGAAAGCACATATAGTACTAACAAGATTTTTTTCCTCATTTACATCTACATCCTTTTTTTATTCCTTATATACTTCACTTCCTGCCAACTATAACACACATTCACTCAAAATCTCTTCTAATCCGTTCCTGGTCTATATCTCATAATCAATACAGCAAGATCTTTTAGCTACATAATTTTTGAAACGATTAAAACCTTCTTTAAGAGTGTCTAGTCCAAGAGATTTATAAAAGCTTCAAGGTTCGAAGAAGCGATACAAGTTTTAATTAATTATGTTAATAAATTGAATTAATTAAATATGTTGTATTAATTAATTTTTTTAATTCAACAATTTGTTTAATACCAACAATTTGTTTACTATAGCAATGCTTTAAGAGATAATATTGCAACAAAAGTAATGTTTTCATGACAGTGTAAAATCACTAGGAAGCAAACCCTTTTCAGAATATTATTTATAGAAATAAAGAGAAGTTAATAAGATTTACGCGAGAAATGAAACAAAAAATATTACAATTTACCCAGAAAGAAAGAAGATCACATTCATTCACAATTTTGGTAGAAAAAAGTTTTGATACATCATAGTCATACATACATTGTACCATCAAATGATTATGATCCGATCTGTGCAACATTGAAAGTACCGTGCGAACAACCACAATCTATAATACGGACAAAAAACTCAAAGTTCTACAATTACAGAGTAGAAATTCTACTAGTCAATAACAATAACTCAAAATGTAGTTACTATGACATACTTTTCCCAATAAATAATTTATATATTATTTACTTTCGAAGTTTTGAAAAATCTTGTTTGTTTTGGACTCTCTTATGTATGCTTCTTGTATTTAAAAGTTTTCTTTAATTGTTATAGATCAATAAAGGCTAGAGCTTCTTTAAGTATGCATTTCGATAACCTCATAATAGAAGACTGCAAATTTTTGTACCAAGACGGCAACTGCCATTTTAAAGAAAAAATGGCGTCCGAAATCATTGCTGTGGAGGTATACGTACGAAAGCGCGTTGACAACACATATCAGTGCTATGTACCCATATTTTTTCTCTTTAATTCAAGTTTTATATTTTTTTTTAACGGATGCATTTCAGCTTAGATTCGCATCCAGTATCAAACCTAAATATTTGTACGCCGTTTATAATAAAAAATATTGGTTCTCTAACATATAAAGTCCATTATCCAGATGATTCTAAACGAAGTATTCAGAATTTGTTTGAATACAATAAATATTCTATTCGAGTTATAGAATTAATCTCCGATTTCGCAATTGACAAAATAACTCTGTCGGATGAAAATGTTGCTGTGACACAATTTTTGTCCATAGTTTAGTCACATGTAGAGAGGATATACGAAAAAGGCCCGTGCACCGCTACTCTGAGATATATCAGCTCTAATTTGCAAATCCATAATATTTGATACTTCTGTTTGATTCAAGATTATAATTGAATATATAATATAATCTAGCTAGTCTACATTATAAAAATATCTATATAAAATATAATATATATATATAGATATTTTACACACAGCTATTTAGATTAACGAACCTAAGAATATGTTTAATTTTAATGTTAAAATAAAATCACGCCGATATGCTTAAGATTGGATTATTTAATCCTGAACAGTAGCAAAATAGATGTCAGGTATCTGGATTATACCACCAGATACATGATATACAGGAATTTCAATTTCAAGCATTGTTTTAGTAACAGTGCATTAATTTTGCTGAGACACCCTACACTTTACAAGACTTAATCGAAGGTGTTAGAATAATAAAAGACAACAAATCATTTAAAGAAATATAAAACATATTATTTATATGTTGTGGTCTTTAATTCCAGACCTCTCTTGAAGAGTTTACCTTAAGGATGCTTAACAATGTGATACTTATTCAGTTAGTTAATCTCTACAAAGATATCAGTGGCTCGCTATCGTCAATTGGTAGTAAAAATATGTTATATTCTTCTAAATAAAATGTACACCTACTATTGATTTCGAAATGATTATTGATTGACTTTATGACGATGAAACATTATTTTTAACTGATAAGTACAATTTCACCCAGTGATGCAGAATCGATTATACGAGTATTACAAATAGCTAGTGCTAAAATTTGTGTGGCACTGTGTCACGTACATTATGATATTTCATAGTAAGTGTTCATTATAACAATCGTCTAAATAAGGGTTTTATTTTTTAGTCTAATATTTTAAAACAAGCCACTTATACCTTTATCGGAAGACACAAAAAATATTATGTGTCTATAGTAATCTTTTGTACAAGTTTTTTAAGTTACCCCAATTCCAGACTATCTAACAACTAAAGTGGGCTGATTTTGATAGGGACTTTAAATTTCCAATGCTTCTAAATTGGTTATACATCCAGAGTACATACACAGCATATGTTCTCTTGTTTCATCATTCTCAAGACAGAGTCTATAAGAATCATCGTTATTTAAAAAAATTTTTTAGCACAATGTACGAAGGAGACATAACCACCACAAAGGAAACTGTATGTTCTACTTAGATCTATATATCTATAGGTTACACTGAGCTACATCGAAGTATAGACAATTTCATTTTAAAGATATATATATAAAAGAAATTGCAAAGTTTACATAAAGTGCGGACGAACGGATTTTCGACTAAGTCTTATTGAGGTCACAAACTGTATGAACTACTTGGATCTATAGATCTATGGGTTATATTGAGCTATATCGAAGTGTAGACAATTTCATTTTTGAATTTAAATACGAACGGATTTTCGACTGAGTCTTATTGAAGTTACAATATTCTTTCACCTTGACCCGGATTAGGTTCACTACTACTTTTTTTCACTACTACCTTTTGTACCTGCATATTTTTCACATTCTATCAAATTGTGTACATTTTATCATCATTATATGTGCGTGTCTTGAAAAATACTTATAGCTTGTCATAGCTAAACTGTCACAATCTTTTCTACTTAACTTTCACAACATGTTATGATTACTTAAATTAGAAGTCAGAAGCCCCTCAGTTGAGCGGTTTAAACTTACAAAATAAATATAAACGCAATTTTTCTCGTTATTAACCACAAGAAGCCAAAAAAATGTTTGGAGCGAGTTCAGACAGACTTTATGCGAGTTGAGTGAACTATTGAAATTAATTTTCATTTTCCGTTAAATTACGAAAACGAGATAAAGTTGGGAAACAACAGTTTTAGAGTAAAATAAAGAAAAAAAATAATAAATTAAAAAGCAATTATTATTTATTTTCCCGTTTTAAAAATAGACATTTCACAGATTACGCAGCACGTAAGAGTTGACTAAATAGATTGATAGCGCCCCAATGTCCATAAACACCTGTTTGTCGGTAAATAAATTTCGACTCAGTGCAACAATTAGTAATAATTGAATAATTGATGAAGTTCTTGTTCAATGAAAGCCCAAAAAAAATTCAATTAGTCCGGAATACACGTGGTGCGACAAAAATTCATTTGGAATTCGTAATAAAATTGTAGACATTATCTTTTCGCTTAGCTAATTAAGGCCGATAGGTACACAGTGAATCAGATTTTTAACTTGAAGTAGTGCTTTTGACGGTTAAGTGGTTTATATGATTTTGATAAGATTATATCAATTATACGTAGCACTGTTAACAAAAGATAAAATTAGTTTTATAATTGGTTTTGACTTGTATTGCCTTTTTTGTCATTTTAATGTCATAAATATTAAAAGTGGCGGAAGAGATTTATAATTATTACTACTTTTTCGATTTCAATATTTTTTTATTGAATTAAGAAAGAAGGAAGATAATAAAAAGAAAATAATAAAATAGAAGAAATAGTAGTTTCTTATAATTAATACAAAAAAATGTCTTTATGTTGAAGATCTATACAATACTAAGTCCAACCAATATTGACTTTTTAAGATCAACTTAATAGAATAATACGTTCTATATGATCTTATCAAATTATTTAACAAATTATATATAAAAAATTTCCTGATAAGTTTAATGATGGGCAATAAATAACCGAACTACATCGTATTATTATTATTTCCTTGGTATATGTTATATATAATGTGTTTATCTATAATACAACGCTCTTAGTACAGACAACGCTTTTAGAAAGAGCATAGGACGGAGGAAGCCATCTTACTATAGTAGAAAAAAAAAACGAGATTTCAAGAGCTTTCTTGTTTGCATCAAATTTTCATTCAACACTAACGACTATAATTGGTGGTACGCTACAGTCTGTCGAAACTGTTTGAATCATTTTTGTTAGGGGAGTCTAGTTAGTTATACG